ATATATATATATAATGTAAATGGTCAATTATAATCTGAAAAAAGTATTTAAGGGGTTCATTAATCAGCTATGGTACAAAATCTAGAAAATACCTTCCAAGTCTTCCTTGAGTAGAAATTCAGATAGAACTGAAAAACAATAGAAAGAGAAAATATGTAAATATAAATTTTAAATAATTTGATAAAGCAAAGTTTAATCAATTCACTTCGTCTTACTTTCTTTACTGAGCAAGAAATCAGTCGTGTCAGTCCCATATTCATTAGTGATTGAACATCCATACACACCACAGTCCTGGCTGGATGCATGAACAATGGCCAGAGCTACTTGGCTCTCATCTCCTCCACTAGGTGAGAAAAAAAAAAAGGTTCCAGTCAGATTCACACTGAAATTCATCAACAATCCAGAGGGTGTCACTCTAAGTAAGAAAGTCAGGCTCTGTGGAATCAGTCTGCTGACAAAGCCACTAGTGACACATATATACTTTATAATGCAGATGGGAAAATATTGTGTCAGATTTCAGTCTATGTTTCTGTCCAGAGATTCACCCCTCTGCGCCACAGCTGTGGGATTCGCTGTCACATGAGCTGATCATGTCGTCAGTGAAAATATGAGCATGGCGAAGGGTCGTGGATATAAACTCCTAAGGGCAAAATAATTCTTGTTTCCTAAATGCTCTGATTTAGCAACCTGTGCAGTTTTTGATTGTCAAATATATTATTAGGTGTGATATTACCAGTGGCAAGCTGAATTCAATGTATCTTTAATCTGCATTTAGTATGTTTATGTTGCATGTGGTTTGATGTTTGCTGAAGGATCTGTGGGGATAACCTTCTCTTCATCTCCAGTATTTCTTCCTCGTCTTTGAACCACTTAATGTTGGAGTCATTGAGCACATTGAAGAACTGGCACCACAGCTTCAGGTGCCCAGAAGCATCTGGGAAGGGCTCTCCTCTGATTTTACGGATTACTTGAGGAGCTGGTGAGAAATGGTGTACTTAAAATCAATAAATAAAATTGACCTAAAATCACATTCATATACATATGCAATATGTAATGGAATGTGAAAAATCTTCTGATGTTTAAATTCCTAAACACAATTCATAGAACCTTAGAAAAGAGTTGAGTTGAAGTTATATTAGGAGAAAATATTGATTCTATTATTTTTACCTTTCAAAGGGTCTGTCTTCTTGCCAGCTGCTCTTTCCTCTACCTTAGTAGCTGATTCTGTCGTAGGAGTCTCCTCTACAACCTTTGGCACCTCCAGCGTAACTTTTCTGCGACTCATAAGTGGAGAGCGTCTCTCCATTGGTGGGGTTTTTTGTCCTGTGGAGGCTTGTAGCAATGCAGCTCTCCGAGCCTGGCTTGGTGACATATAGGGGCTCTCCTTCTTGCCTTCTAACACACTAAACACTGCTCCTTCCAACTCCTCTTCTCTTTTTGGGATGAAAATTTTGCGCCGAGCTCCAGAGGCCAGCTCCTCTGGTGTGGCAGAACGTATGAGTGTCAGGCTGTCTCGGCGTTTAAGCCGGGGGCTGCTCTCACAGGATAAGGATGATGTTGGCGTGGATCCCCCACTGAAATCTTCATCTGCCTTGTCGCTCTGACGATCCTCGACAGAGATTGCAGGGGTGTTGGCTGTGGTCTCATTGTCTACATCTAGAGCTGATTTGGACATAAATTTACGTAGACTAGAAGGACTTAAAGATGGGTATGTCGGGGGTTTGGAGCTTAGCCTTTCAACGGATGGTCTGTTTTTTAGGAAATCCTCAACAGACACAGAACTCTCTCTTTTGCCATCTTTTGGGGACTTTTGTTTTAAGGTTTCAGGCATAATATTGTCCTCTGTTGGTTTACTTAAAGGTGACATACTGCTACCAACCTTTGGTGCTGGAGTTTCACCAAGTAATGTCAGCGTGTTCTCTTTTTGGGTCTTTTCCTTTAAGTCTTTTCTTCTTTGAGGTATTTCAGGCCTCTGACTCAGGTTTTCATCTACACATTGCTTTGTTCCCCTTTGCGTACCTACTGAAGTTTCGGTTTCTCTCCTCTCGGTGGGAACAGGCAGTTTAAGTTCAACTTCACTTTCATGACATGTGACAGATATAGGGGGAACTGTAAACAAAGACTCTTTTGGTGTTTCAAAAGCCTTTTCTTTCCCCCAACAACCACTGCTACTAATGGCATCACTCTCCTGATCATCACTGCACAAAACATTTATGACAGGAATTGAAGCATATTCCAACAGAGGGAGCTGTTCACTGCTTTGATGTTTGTGCGTTACTTGAGTAGTTTCCTGGTTCTTTTCTTTAGGTAAGAGTTCATCATTATGCTGCATTCCTCTCTGCGTGTGGGATATGCCTGCAAAATCAGACACTCCCAAATCTTGGATTCCTGCCTTTGATTCATGAGTTGCATCATGTTTTTGCAGATCTTTTAGATCTGGCTTGTTAAGTGCCAAAATACTTAGTGGCAAAGTGCCCTCTTTTACATCAGGCTCCATTATTTTAATAGTTGGGATTATACATTCTTCACTTGGGATTATTCCTGGTTTAGATAGGTTAACATCTGTAATTTCTTCAGTAGTGGATATTTCGATTGATGGAATATTTATCATATTACAACTATGATCACTGTTTTTTCCATGGGGAACATTACTTTTGTCCTCCAGGGCAATTGTGTTATCTTCATTGTCCTGTGTTACTACAAGTGTCTGTGGTTTGCTTAATTCTTCCTCATTCGGGCTCATATCTTTTAGTGTCTCTACCTGTAAACATGCATTGCTTTCTTCTCTTTTATCTGCTTGTATTGTAACTTGCTCTTGTGTTTTTAAATTGTTGCACCTATTCATCTCTACATCCTCTGCTGAGGAACAATGGAATTCCTCTTTTGTCTCCCCTCTCTCCTCTATGTTTGAAATCTTTGTGGTTTTAGTTTGGTGGTCATCTGTTATTTCCCCACCTCCAGGGGCTTGTTCACGTTGATATTTTAGGTCACCCATCTCTAAACACTGTGAGAATTGAGAGGGCGGAAATCCTGCATTCATTTCCTGAATAAGAGAACTGCATTTGGCCCCTTGTTTTAAATTATCTTTTTCTGCAGTGTTAGCTACCGCAACAGGAAGAGCAGACAGCACCTGATCCGTTGTTTCAGATTCGTGCAGCTCAATTCTGTCTTCTGGAAAACCTGCAGATATTTTTGCGATCAAAGAGTTGTTTATATCCATGTCGGGTTGTTGGTTAGATTTCACTTCAGTTTTCTCCTCCATAGATAACTTGTAGGAGGACTGATGCTCTTTATTGTCAGGCTTGTCTCTGTCTATTTTAAGAACCCTGACCTCTTTCTTTTCCAACGTTTCCATAGGTGCAATTTCAGGGTTGTGGCTTTCTGCCACTGAGATAACATTCTGAGGTGGAGTGGAGGAATCTTCTCTCTTAAACAGGGAATGTTCTTTATCTTTCTGAGATAAAGGGTCATCTTTTCCAGACTTGGGATCAAGCAGGCCATCTGTCCCCTTTTGCTGGGTTTGCTCTTCTTTAATGACTGAAACTATTCCTGAGTCTTTCTTTTCATCCTGTTAGACCATTAAAGATAAAATAATATTAATAACAAGATTAAATAAGATTCAAGATTCAATTGATTCAACAAGAATCAATTTGCTATTGTGGTCCATCCTATCCCCTCTGATACGTATTCTACAGTACATGCAATACTTGTTTTTTTCTTCTGCGCATAGCTCTGGCAAATATAGCCTCTTTTTCTTTTTTCCTGAATCTTTGTCAATCGTTGTCAAAGTCCTTGGGAAATTAAGTTTTACTTTGGTGATTTAGAAATTCACAAAACTTTACCATTATCCATAATCAACTGAAACTTACAAAATGTCTGATGTAAGAAATCTTGGATATGAACGTGTCCTTTTATGTAAAGCTTAATCCCTACATTTCAATATACTTTTCCCTTTGACCTGAAAGCGTGGTGAAATAAAATAGACCATCCATACCTCCACTATTAAGGTACTATGATCTGTCAGGGGTCTTTTATGGATGTTTGCATGTAACACAAATCTTTGTGACCACATTGACCATGCAATCAACCAAAAATGATAGTAAACCAATCAAAATTTGGCAGCAGATAGCATAAACCCTGGTTCAGGTCATCAGGGGAAGAAAAACAACATTTAAGGGTTCTTTTAGGGGAGTGGCGGCCTAGTGGTTAGGGTGTTATGCTTGGAATCCAGAGGTTCTGAGTTCAAAGACTGCCACTCTGGCTCCCTGAGCAAAGCCCCCCTAACCCTACACTGCTCTCTGGGCGCCGCACAATGGCAGCCCGCTGCTACCCAAGGGGATGGGTTAAATGCAGAGATTGAATTTCGTTGCTCTGTACTTGTGACAGTGTAATGACAATAAAAGCCGAAAAAAGAAACCAAACCAAAAACAATAACATGGAGAGGGCTTCAATTTTTGCAGTGTTGATAACATTGGCATTTCTCTAAAAGACAATGATTTCAAAGCTGCACTGATGTCAAGTGAGAATTATTTTTTTAATCCTTTTCTAAATAGACTCCCTATTAAGCAGTGTATCATCAAGCCATTAGAGGCTGCAGTGAACACGTTACATCTGTGAGTAGGGTGGGGTTTTCCTCAAAGTCCAAATAGCTTGCATTCATGTTTGCAGAGAGGTATGCCAATGTCTTAATGATAGCATGTTTAAAATAGCAATGTAAAATAACCCTCAAATCATGTGATGATTTTATGTTTACAGTTATGCTTGTTGACACTGTTGGTCTCTCTCACATCAGGATAGTCTGAGAGATAGTATTTTTACAGGAAGACCAAATTGGATGTACAATCTATTGCTTTCAAAAAAAGTTGAGGTTGCGAGCTATCTGCACGTTTTTTTATACACAAGAGGAAAAGGAAATATAGTAGAGACTGTGAGTGCAGTAGCGGTTCAAGACCACATTTACCGAGAGGATGGGGGCAGGGTGGGAGCACGTAACAAAAGCATAACATGAAATAAAACTGAGCAATCATTTAATAAATTAAGTGTGCCACAGAGCCAAGATTGCATATACTTGATCTAGAAGATGAAAACTGGGACCTGTCCTAATAGGGCGAAAGTTTAAAGGGATGCATGTTATTCTCTAAATAACTGGTTAACTGTAAACCCAAAGATTTGTCGGGTCCAAGGGGCCAGTTCATTACAGTCTCTTCTCTAAGTGCATATCATTATAAGAAATTTATTTAGTGTTGTGTTTTCAGTATAAGGGCCATAACAGGGACTGCAACCAGCTTTAAAGGGGCACTGGCCACTGTTAGCCCCTGTTTAGCTCCGCCCATGCTGTGGTTACAGACATTCAGTGATGTATTACAGCAATTAATTAACATATATGTCCCTTAAAAATACACTTTTTATCTTTAATTCTCTGAATTGTCTGTTTGCATCCACACTGCAGGCATCTACACTAGGTTTCACTTAAGCCCAAGTTTTCATTTTTGTTCGGTTCTCAATTTTGGATAACTTTCACACCTGTCCAAACAAGTAGAGCCATCTAAAAACAAACAGTTTTCTGTTTAAAGTGTACCAAGAGTTAATTAGATATGTGAGAGCACATTTAGAATAAAAATGTGTCTCAGAGGTGGATTAATTCATTTTTATATTTATTTCCTGTTTTGTGTTTTTATTCCAGGAACCTCAGCCTTCCATCAAGCTTACACTGTGCTATGGAATCCATTAAGGGCTGAGCACCCAGGTTGCAGAGGCCGATAAATACTTTGTCCTGGGTTGGGATGCACACTTTTGTACCCATCATATGTCCAAGGTGTAGATATATGACGGGATTTGAATATGATAACTTTATAATTTTCAATTAAGAAATAACTTAACCCCTAGAACCCTACGGACCCACCGGTGGGTCCAGCTGCTACGTGACCTCGTAATTTTAACAAACCCCCAGTATTGATGTAAAAAACACATTTGGCACAGTTTGGTGACATTTTTGGATAAATGTGCCAAAATGGCCTCTCCGCCTAAGAAATTTCTCACTAATACCATTCTAAAATAAATATGATTCATCTGATTGAGTCCAAATTTGGTATATTTTTAAACAACATTTAGATTTAAAAGTCTGTACTACTTTTTTGTGCTATAAATAATATTTTGGTAGTGTTTTGCAATGTTTATTTCAAAGAAAATTTTGGCGAGGTTCAAAAAATGCAAAATATTTAGTATTTTATCCCTAATATTTCAGGCAGGGTCAAAGCTACAATGGTGCTGACACCAGAAAACCATTCTATGACATCTTACCTTTACAGACGTACCAAAAGTTTCTTCTTAAATCTAATAGCTGTGAGGCTATAAGTTATTTACTTTTGTGTGTTTTTGTCAGGCAGAAATTTATTTATACCCCCTGAGGGTGTAAGAGGTTAATAAGTTGTTAAAAGCTTTTAAATGTAAACTGCTTTTGTTTCTGTACATTTATAATAAGGTTTGGGTATTCAAATGGACAAAACCGGGCCATTTATGAAAGTGTTACAAAACTGACAGCCAGGCAGCCTCATAATGACCTCTGGGAGACAGAATGGCTGTTGATAAAGCAGCTAACTAATCCTATGTAGAAGGACATAAATGACAACCACAGATTCAGACTGACAGTGAGAGACTATACAGCATTGTGACAGGAATAAGGCATTCATGTTAGTTGTTGGTGAAAGTTGACTGATCAAGGCTGGTTTCAATTCTTGGTTCATTTTCGTTTTCCCCTCTCAAATCAAAACAGGAATAAGGTTCCACCTTGAGGGCACCACTTTTCTTTAGATTTGGAGAAGACCAGTTATTCACTAACAAATCTGAGAGCTTTCATGAGTTTAGATTAGATTCTGAACGTTTATTCATGAATAGTCACAAATTTCCAGCTGTAAATTAATTAACTTGTTTTAATGTAGTTTTGAGCTTCGTATCATGTTTGGTTAATTCATTCTTAAAAAAAATGCAAAAATCATACCTCCTTGTATGTGGTTAGATCCCTTTATTCCAAGTTAATGAACTGATTCTTTGTATTAATTCAGAAAAATTACACGACTGCTTACTTTAAGAAACCTTCACAAAAAACTGCTTCATCATGCCTTATGGATGTATTGGTAGCAAAAGGACACACCATTAAAAATATCTGATCCAAGCTGAGACCATAATATTTTTAAGAAGCTCATTAAAAAGAACTTTCAGCTGTGACCTTTGATAGTGTGACACATTTAGACCCAGACAAGTATTTCAGCTGTAAATCAACAGGAGCATCAGTACTGACAGTTCCTGGCAGACTTGGTATTGCAATGCCGTCATATAATCCCAGCAGACGGGCAGAGCGCTGTGGTCAGTGTTCCTAAAGTTAATCATTTATTAAGCGGCAAAAAGATCACAAAAATAGCCACTTTCATGTATCATTTAAAAGTTCTTTTTTTTATACATTTTCAGTTTGGTTAAATAAGTTGTTTTTTTACATCATGTCATGTGTACGGTAGCTGTAACAAAAAATGTTTACATATGGAAAAGTCCAATAGCATAACTAGCAGTCTGAACTTGACCGTTTCTCTTTATTACTGGACATTAATTAAAATTTAACAGCTTGAGTACAACTAATTGAGGCCAAGCAAAATACAAGCACTATACCTAGAAGGACAGCCCCAGGGTTTTAAAGTCCTTGCTTGCTCAATGAACTCAGACACAGGAATTCCCCACATTGTAGTCAAAGGTGTGCTGCTCACACAGAGCACTTGCCTTGCAGTGAATGAATAACAAGTCTCTGAGTGACAAACAAGAATCTGTTCCCACATATTTTCCTGCTATCATAGATTGGAAAACACAGATACACAAACATTAAAAGGTTTATATTATTGTTTAAACGCATAGAAAATTAAAGTCTGTATTTCTTAAGTCATGAAAATTGTCAAACAAGAATAAAGTTTTTTTGATTTTTCTGTTGTTCCTGCTTTTGGTGTTATCATGTTTCAGCTTTACATAGAGGGCGTCCAGCAGCCACGTGTTTCCTCGTGACAACATGTTTGGCTTGCAGTGACAACGAGGAAAACAAGAAGTGGTTGCTTTCAGTGGAAAGGGAACTGGTGTCACACTTAATGCAAAAAGATGAAGTGCTTTGACACTTCTATGTATGACAGCCCCTTAAGAAAAGACACTTTACAAAAAGGGTTTTACTTGCTCCATTGACAAAAGGGCTAGACATGTTATTTTAGGATGTGTGAATAAGCTCTTTTACATCAGTCCCTTTTCCACAAGAGTTGATGCAGCTACTTAAAAAAACGCAGGTTCTCCATAAGACTGGCAATTTCTAAACTTTAATTTGATATAAATATATTACTAGGAAAAATACTGCTTTTACTTTTTCGTCAGGCTTACATGTTGCCCATCATCAAACATGTATTAAGATTAGACAAATACAACCCGAATAGCAGAAGGCAAAACATATTTTTTGATGATGATTTTATAAACGACATACAAAAATATTGCCATCTAAGCAATGGGCTTAATGACACCAATAACTGCATGAAATTTTACTGACAGCTGGCTAAGAGTCTTTAACACCAGTGAGGAAAAACATAGACTAACTCTTTGCTAATTTTATTAAAACAACCACATTTAATGTTTTTTATGAGTGGACAGTGTTTCAAACTAATATGATAAAACAATATGGTACTCCAATGAAATTTAAGTCCAGAGTTTGGCCTTTTCTAATGTTTTTCTAATGTCTGTTTTGCTCTTGTTGGTACATGCAGAGGTGAACATGCTGCTGTGCTTCATTGTCTTATATTTAGTGAGCTAGAGCTCAAACTTAACAATATAGTTACAGTGGACGTGTTACACACTTGACAGCTTGCTAATTTATCAAGGGACAGAACAAACAGTTATGTCAATTCACTAATACGAGCATTTTAGACACATAAATAAACTTAAGATGCATATTTTTGGACTGTGAAAGGTAGAAGAATACCTGGAGATAACCTACATATGCATAGGGAAAATATACACAATTCTTGTAGAAATACAGGGGTAATTTATCTCAGATATAGCAAGACAAAAACCTTTAAGTTGTTTTTTTTTTGCTAACCAGAAGCAAAAACATTTTTTTTTTTTTTTCAGATTATAAAGATGGTTGATCAGGAAATGAAAGACAGGACTTTATATCCTTTTTGATCAGCAGTGGTTTGATTTTTTTCAACTCTCCCAAGAACAGCTCTGGCAGTGGTTTCCTAGAATACCAAAGGTTATGACTGTCTTCTCTTAAGGCCTCTCATCTACTTTATAATGCTAGGTAAACTGAATAACACTAGCTTATAACAGCTAATTCACGATATTACATGTAGGTATTAACTTTTTTTTGTTTTTTACATTCACCAAGGCTGTTTGCATGATTTTTCCCTGCAATAAAAGAAATATGCTTGAGGATAAATACTTTCTCACAGCAACTAAGGATAGTATGATATGAAGTTTGACACTTGGTTTAGACAAATGAAGATTGCTTTTCTGCCTGCTTTGCGACCTAATGCTCAGCTAAGAAAAACATGTTTGGTTGATTTTTAGTACTGATAAAACTAATAAGAAAGACAGACTGAAAACAAGTTTTTAGTTAAAGCAATGTTACATGAGATTTGAAACAAGTCTCAAATGAGCCAAGTAAGATGACCAAAGAGCTGCCGCCTACCACCCTCTTGGCTGGATGAGGAAAAGGTTTATTTTAGGACACCCAAAGAGGGAGGGAATCTGACCACAGTGACAAGGCCCTCCTTTCATGCTTAGACCTGCCCCTGGACCCTCTACTACTGCTTGCAGAATCTTCCCAGCTGTCTGTCAAGCAAAGTAATGTGAGAACCATTTAAGATGTTCGTGTTTCATCATTATCTCTGACGCACCGGTGTTCAACTCAGAAAAGCAGACATCAAAGATATTTTGCCTGCAGCTTGACAGTCTGTCGCTTTGATGCCCAATAACCCCCACCCCCACATGCCTGAGCAGAAAGTTTCTTTTTACTTCCTTATTCTTCTCTCCACACACACTAACTTTCATATCTTACTGCTCAATAACAGCTGACTCACTTTATCAACAATAACTCAATGACAGTACATTGTATAATGCCAAGTAATTGCAATGTGTAACTTTTTCACCAGGACATGATATTGACCAATGACCATGAGTGATTATGTGCTTGAAAACTGTTATGTCAGCGTTAATACAACAAACATAGGTAACATCGCTTTTGCCTTACAAAGTGAGTCAATATTTAATCTGGAACAGGCAGGTAGCAGCTAATGAAAGGTCCTACTTACCTCAGTGTGAACTTGAAACCCAGATGACTTTTCCTCCACTGCACTGCTGCTCTCCTTCTCCACAGATACCTCCATGGCTTCCACAGTCTCATCAGCCCCTCTTATACTCTCTTCACCTGTTTCCTCAGGAAGGAGTTTATGATCTGGTGGTCGGTCTTCATCTTCACAGTTAGATTTAAGTATTACTCCTGGTTTTGCTTCTTGCACCACACTTTCTGAGGGCTCCGGTGCTTTATCAGTTTCCATTGGCACAGCCTCCTCTGCCGGGTGCTTGAGAACCTCAGAACTATGTTCTGCTTGCAACTGAAATGATGGAGGCATGTCTGGTTCAGGCTCAGAAAGAACTGCTGGGATGTCAAAATCTTTTTCCTCATTCTCTGTGTGTGATATAGAGAGAGGGTCTTTCTTGCTCTTACCAAAGAAGAAGTCTTTAACAGAGTGCAGCATGGAGGAGATTGAGGCCTGTATGTTGTGCTGGTCATGATCTTTTTGACTCTTGTTGTGATGTTTGACTACTGGACTATTAGACTTTTGGAGTTTGGTGTGAACTGCTGTGTGTGCCATCTCTGGTTGCTTTTCTCTTTTATTTTCTCTGTCTATGAATAACTCTTCTTCTATTCTTTTCTCTTTTATGGTTTCTTCTTTTTCCAGCTCTTCAAACTTGTTCTTAATCTCCTCAGTCTCATTTTCCTTATTATCGCTCGAAGCAGCTGTGCCTTTCTCTCTACTTTTCTCCTCCTGATTCTCCTCAACAGATTCAGACTGTAGAGTCTCTGCCAAAAACTGTGCTAAACCTATTCCTCCATCATAGGAATTCTCTCCTCCATTTCCCATCATGTGGCTTCCGCTAACGTTGCTTTTGGCTCCAATATCCACGTCATCTGACATCTTTATTCTCTTTTTAGCCAGTGTTTCCTCTGACTCCTTTTCCAAAGAACCATTTACTGAAGTTATATCCCCCGTATCTTTGCCTTCAGAGATAATTACCTTTGATTCAGCAGCATCTTTTGGCTGCTCTGCAGCCACAGAGTTGTGGACCACTGGCTTCTCCTCCAGTGGAGGCACAGAGCGTTTTCTTTGTGAATGCTCAAGGCTTCTTCGCTGCTCTTCTTTCTGAATGTTTTCTTTATTGTCCTTCTTGCCCTTATCCTCGACATCTTTTTTCTTCTTCTCTGCTTTCTGCTTCAGTTTATCAAAGAATCGCTGGTGGATCTTGTATTCATTCATGGTACCAACTTCCAAAACACCAGAGCAGGAGACAATACCTTTACTATTGCTGGCAGAGACCTGGTAGATTGCTGCATCATCTAAGGTGCAGCTGAAAAATAACAAAAAAAAAAATTCCTGCTGTTATATTCTAATTTTGGTTTGAAAAGAAACACAAAATAAATAGAAAGGTGCATTTCTATTAGTATGAATGCAGGGACTACAACATAAATGTCGTATTAGTTTTGGACTTAATATGTTACCATCCTGTTTTGGTGAAATGGTGATAAAATGAACAGTTTTAATTGTTATTGTAAAAAGGAACTATGTCCACTAAATTTAATTTGTCAAAATTATACACAGTTTAAAAGATACAGTATACAAAAACCTCCATTAATAGATGAATAAATGTTTCTCTCTGTGGTGTGAAGCAGCCACACTTGTCATATAGCTGTTACTCTGTTCTGGTTTAATTATGGATGGATGATTAACTACTGTTATAAGAAACAGTAGAGTAGATTTAAATATGATGGTTTCTATCAGGGCTGCTCAGTTGCACAGTGAGTAGCACTGTTGCATTGCAGCAAGAAGGTTCTGGGTTTGGTTTGGCTCAGGGTCTTTCTGCGTGGAGTTTGCATGTTCTCCCTGTGCATGTGTTGGTTCTTTCCGGGTACTCTGTGCTGCCCTGCGATGGACTGATGACCTGTCCAGGGCGTACCTCGCCTCTCGCCCACTGACAGCTGGAGATAGGCACCAGCACCCTTCACGACCGCACTTGAGATGGATGGGTGGTTTCTATCAATGGCATTAGATGCCTTATATTTGTTTTTGTGTTCAGTCAAATCCAGAAGCTTAATCTTGGTCTGCTTTACAAATTCAAAACCTCAGGTCTCTGTCCTGTTGGGACACCCAGCTGTGTCCAAGGATCAAATCATTTGCCATTGATTTGACAATGAAGATGATAAATTGTGTCTCTGTAATAAAGGCAGTTAAGGCAAACCCTCAGCATGATTATACCAAAGCCTTACTTTCAAGTATCTCAGCTGTTATTTTGTCCGACTATAGCACAGTAAACTTTCGACTGACTGCCACTCTTTATATTTGTCACAAAGCAATTATACATACTTATAAATATGAAGAGTGTGAGTTTTTCCATTTCGTCGGATTTCATATTTAGGGAGTCCACAGTAACGGTCCATTTCCATGTCGTCTTTATACCATTTCAGTTCTGGAGCTGGGAAACCTACAGAGAGAATGTTTATTTAAGGTCTTTTCACCACAAAGTACGGCATCAAAAATGTGATTTTTTATTTCACTTTATGCACTATATTCTCAATAAGAAACTGGCCTACTATTTGGTTGCAGTAGTAAGCATGAAACAAGCTTCTGTATGAAAGCCTAAATGAATGAAGAGTCAGCATGTTTTGTATCTGTTGCATCATGTCACTGATGCGTCATTTAACAGCTGCTGTGGCCAAATGGTCCCACCCAAACAATCTGCCTGCAGTCAAAAACAACTAGAAACACCCGCCTAATGTGCTGTTTAATCCAGGAAGCAGCTAATTTGATGCCAACAGAGTAAAATCCTACCTTTTGTTTCCTTATTAGTCACATCCTGAATGTTCACCTTTTAAGCCTGAAAAGTTTCAGTTTGTCAAAAAACCACAACAAGCAGCAACAGGATGAGGAGGTGGGCCTACCTGACACGACGCAGGTGAATTTCACATTACAGTTTTCTGACACAGCCTTGGATTTCAGCGTGGTCTCAAAAGACGGCTGTATGTCCTCTGTGAGCTGAGCCATGACACTGCACAATGTGCTCCTAGATAGAAACACAGCAACATTGGAGAGTTAAGCTTTGAAATAGTAAAATACAAGTCATTTCATTCATTTAGACCACCTCTTCACCTCGGTGCAGTACATTCAAGGGGCGCTCTTTGACAAAGTGTTAATAGAAATGTGTAGTAGAGGCGAGGTTTTGTAAAGAAAGTTGATACAGAAACATGTGAGAGACCAAACAAAACAAAGGTGTGAACTGGACCGGACACTGAGCAGTACAGTTAAAACGTGTTGGTTTCATTCTGGGGATAAACCAGTTTTTGTGGTTAACATGTTAGTTGGGAACTTGGGAGAAACGTTTTAAAAATTGAAATTACCTCGCCGATCTGTAGTGAGAATACCTTGAATAGCTATTCAGAAGGAGGCAAATGAAGGAGCGTCAGTAAAAAAATTAAATCTACATTATTCTAACCCACCTGTCCTGTTATAATTATGGTCTTTACAAGGCACAAGAAGCACTTTAACTTGTAGTTTGCATGTTAAAAAAAAAACTTTTCTGGACCACATTCCGTAGTCAATGAGGTTACATTCTTGCACCTAACATGCCTTTTTACATTTTGTTTGCTGCAGGACTTTGTGACTATTTAACTTGACCTATATGACCCAGGGACTAGCATGACAACACCAAAACAAACATAGTCTAGGATGATAAAAAAATTCCCCTACCTGTTTTCAGGCCTGACATTGGACAGATAAGTATTGCGGCTCTCGGAGCGGCCACTGGAAGAGCCACCCTCCTCTTCACTGAAGCTGCTCGTTCTTCCATTGCCAGAATATGAGCGAGTCATTGGCCTCCTGGAAGTCATTTTCCACTAAGTCAAATTACAAATAAAAACAATGTATACAAAGAAAATCCCAGATATGTAAACCTGAGTTAGTTCATTTTCAAAAAGTCAAGGAGGAAGGTTAAAAAAAGAGTAGACTCCAAATTAACAGAGCTGCCCATGTAAAAGTCGCCAAGGAAGTAAAAAGACCCTCTTCAGATGGAGGACCTGTGGGTGAGAATAAAAGGTGTATAAAATATAAACAGAAATCTTTACTCAGAGACAAAGTTTAGATCAAAAGTCCTTTGACCAGTGAAAGCTCTTGGATTGGAGTCGGATATAAATAGTATCTGCTATCAAGTTGAACTGTTCTTTCTTAAGCCACAAACAAACAAAAACATCACTTATTTATTTATATAAGAACAGAGCCAAAGTTAACGTCTCTATGAAGAAAGTTATAATATCTATCTTACCATTGAGAGGTTGTCTGTGTTGCTTTGGAGCCGGAGTGTGTGAGAAAAATCTGTAACCGCCTATCATAGACATGCATGTGTTGCCAGTGGGGCCCTATTTATAGCAGAACCATAAATAGGTTTAGGAGAACATCAGATTTTCCGAAACTGGGCTTTGGACTAACTAAAGAAGTAAAAATCAAATGTTATTTATTTTAAATTTGTTAAAGGTATCAAACATTTTTTTTTTATGAAACCGATATTTTGAAAAATTGTATTTCATTGTTTTGATCACACTCTGCTGAATTAAAGCAGTTGATTGAAAGTCCATTTGGTCACGTCATTGGAATTAAGTTCAAAATGATGCTGCTGAGATTTAAATGTCGATATCAAAATCATTTTTAGCGGGTCAGTGAAGGATCAAGGAACACCTCCAACTTTTGCACTGCAAGTCACCAATTTATAGCCTACATTGTATAAAAAGCCATATATGATCTTATCAGGAGATAATACCAGGACTGAGGCTATAAATATCTAAATAAGTATATAAACAAGTAAATGGATTTTCCAAAAAAGTTTAAAGAAAAATCCGCTGGACTTTGTTTCCAAGGTTGAAGATGTTTGGCTTCCCATCCAGGAAGGGTTTTCAAATCAAAATAGAGAATAGCAAATAATAGCGTTGAGTTTGAAGCTCTTATACAGCATGCAAAATTCCTTTAGAATGGGGGTCATTCGTCTTTTTTTGTTAGCCTGCAATGCCCCATACCTGTCTATGTCTCTGAAATGGCTGTCGTTAAAGGGAATTGTTGGCCTGGCTGAATAGGTGAGGTCTTAAGCTTCCCTGTAAAGGGGTTAGGGTTGGGATGATAGTGCGAAGGGATAAATTCAATTGCTGTATTGTGGGTTTTTGAAAGCTGAAACCTGCGTCCACCCCCTCTGTTTTAGGTTGTTGTTTCTTTCTTAACATATATGGCTTCCTTCATGTCCTTCATGTGAACATTCTGGTCCTCAAAAGAATGTACTTGGTCCATAAGTTGTAGATGTACCGCAGGTCTTGTCCTGAGGAGGTCGCTCTTCTGTGTTGGACCATGCGTCTCACAAGAGAGGCTGCCAACGACAACAAGCATACCTTTTCTGGACTGTTTGGTGAGCATGGAAGGAGATGGAAACCTCAACATATAAGTGTATANAAAACTCAATGTTATTTCTAACATTTTGAATTGAAAGAGCTTCCTGGATGGGAAGTGAAACGTCTTCAAACTTGGAAACAAAGTCCAGTGTTTTTTTTTGTTTGTTTTTTTACTTTTTTGGAATAACTATGACCTCGATGAATGAGAATCTTCACCATCAAGTAAATAGATTAATAAAAATGTATTACTCTGAGATGATAAAAATGCAAACAATTGAAAGAGATGATGTAGCCATCCCTAAATACAAAGATTGCTCTTTGTAAAAAGAGGATTTCTTATTTTTCTGTAATCATACTTTGAGGTTAAAATCTGTTATACTCTCTATATTCATTTTCAAGCAAATAAGAAATGTGGTTGGACATAGCACTAAAACGGATTAAAGGACAAATTTCCAAGCAGGATCTAGAAAAATGCATTCATGAACTTATCTTTAGTAGGATTATTGCACCAGTGTCTTCACAAGTTTGCCTAAAACTTCCATCAGACAGCTGCAGCTGATTTAAAACGCTGCTGCCCGTGTCCTCACTAAAACTAGGACAATAGAGCACATTAGCCTGGTTCTAAAGTCCTTCCACTGGATCCCTGTAGCTCAGAGAGTAGACTTTAAAATACTTCTGTTAGTCTAAAAATCACTGAATGGATCAGCACCTAAATATGTAACAGAATTGTTGTCAGTGTATCAACCCCTCCGACCGCTCAGGTCTTCTAATTCTAGCTTACTCTGTACACCCAGAACTAGAACAAAACATAGAGAAGCAGCATTTAGTTCCCATGATCCACTGATCTAGAACAAACTACCAGAAGACTGGAAAAGGGCTGAAAGCCTGAGTTCTTTTAAGTTAATGTTAAAAACCCATTTGTTTAGAACTTCCTTTGACTGTTGAAGTTAAACTGCAAACTGAGGTATATTAGTTTAAGGTTGTAATCCAACTGTTCTATTTTCTTTTCTACCTGCTTTTATCGTGTTTTTTTACTTGCTTTAATTCTGCATTTTTTTTTTGTGGTCCAGCTTTTTTGTTTTGTTTTACAAATGTTTTTTTTTTTATTCTGCTTTATTTTTTCTTGTGTTTTATTTTCTAATTCATGTAAAGCACTTGAGTTGTCATGAACTGAATTTTGCTATACAAATAAACTTGCCGTGCCTAAAACTGTCCCCAGTCCAAGGCCAAATATCTTGTTAAAACCCACCCTGAGTCATACTGTTTCTTTTTTTTGCCATTTTTTTTTTCTTTCTGTAACTACTAAGGTTCTAGAGATCGTATTATGTTAGGATTCAAATTGCATTAAAAAACATTTAAAAAATATTTTATAAAGTTTGTTAGTAGAATATTTGGAATAAAGTTATGCTATCAGTATCACAATATCTTTTAAAAAATATTTTTTGTTAAAACAATTTAAATGAAAAGAGCAATGATGATACTTGTATACATTTGTTTTATTCTCTAAACCAAAGAGAAAACATATCTGCAGGTATTTAAATTTTGTGAGAGCACCTCATATTGGAGGTTAACAGGTTTTAGATGTGGTAGAAATAGGGCACTAAATTATAAAAATATCCATTAATAGCTTAATTAAGTCTTAGAGTATTAATGACTTTTTTAAGGAAGCTGTTTTGGTTGGATCTGGAATTTGCTGCTAAAAGATAAATAATCTCTTATGCTGAAATTCCAGTAAGAGTTTGACTAGCGCTGAGGGAGTGTATTATGTTTTATCTTTAACCATCTCAGTCACTCTGACCTTAGACTGTGGTTTGTGTTCCGCATGGAAAAGTAGCCAGCTTGCTCATTTCCCGTAAAGTGTCAAATAAAACTGAAATCAAGCCAACATCTACTTAGAAAACAACTGTGGAGCCAGCCCTCATTGACTTTTAATCAGTTATGGATACACTATGAAATATGGTAGCAACGGTAGGTTGGAGTTTTCAAAATAAAACTGACAAATTAAATATTAATGTTTATTAAGTAGAATTCGTTATAATTTACAGCCCTCTGTTCAACATTTTTTTTCTTATGTTCCCCTGTGCATATGGATGTATGAAAATGATTTTAATGTTGTTTTTTTTTATCTAGTTAGTGTTTTTTATGATGAATTTGTGCACTTTATTTCAGAATGCCCATTTATTTTACTTAAGTTTTACATGCTGTTAAACCAAAACTTTGCTTAGCTACTGATTTCTACTCAGGGTGATGGTAGAACATCCTTATGGTGCATTCATACCAATAAGCAACTTTGATAAAAGTCACCAAATTTAGAATTTTTTTAGATGCTTTAATTGTGAAATTACACATCAGCTCTTCATGATAATTGTGGATATTATTAACTGGTTAGCAGTTACTAGTATTACTAGTTACTACTATTTGTAGATACCTTTGTACCTATGACACTTAGGGATGTCATAATGACTCCCTAAACCTTAAATCAGTGACTAGAAACAAGGGGTTTCTCATTAATATTCATGGAAACTTTCATTTTGAATTTCAACATCAGACCATGATGAATTTTAGTGAAAAGTATCTACGGGGGTGTTCTACTATCTCACTCAACTTGAAGCAGGGAGTACCTGTTAATATTCACGGAAACATAGAGAAAAGTGAGCAATTTTACAGATTTTGAGAGGCTTTAATTTTGAAATTCCACATCTGATCTCTATGACCTTTGATCAAAAGCATCTGGGGGTCTCCTACTGTCACCCTGAAGTGTAATTAGCAACTGGAAATATGGAGTTTCCTAGCAACATTCACGAAAACACAGAGGAAATTGACCAATTTCACAGATTTTGACAGGCTTTAAGTATGAAATCCCACATCAGACCATAATGACCTCTGATGAAATACATCTAGAGGTTCTCTACTATCATCTTGAAATTAAATCAGCGACTGGAAAAAAAAAGTTTGGGTTTAAAAAACGTTTAAACTCAGTTAAAAAATGGGCATTCTGTAATAAAGTGCACAAATTAACGATGTAAAACTAAATAAAAAAAAAACAACATTAAAATCATTATCATATATCTGTATTCAAAGAAGCACAAAGGAAATAAGTTTTAGACCTGATGGCTATAAATTATAAATATTGAAAGTTAATACTTTTAAAAAGGTCAAAAAAAACAATCCACTGGAATTTTTTTTTTTTCAAACTTTGAAGACGTTTCAGGAAGCTTTTTCAAATCGAAATGTCAGAATTAGCATTGAGTTGCAAGCTTAATAGTGTAGCCCAAACAAAGCCTTGTTTTGGCTTAGACAATATGCTAACTGAACTGCATTGTCTTCATAATTAATAACCACTAAACAACTAGTGGATTTTATTTTGAAAAGTCCAAATGAGCGTTGCTACCGTACTGCACAGTGTATACGTGACTGATAAAAAGCCAGTGCGCGCTGGCTTGACGGTCGTTTCCGAAGTGGAACCTGGCTTGACTTCAGTAAAATAAAGCTCATCTGTGGTTCCTGGTTTATTTGTTTGTTTGTTTGTGTATGAAAAACGAAGAGCTAAACTCTTCATAGTTTTCTCTATACAAATATATATATATTTCACAAGAAAAAGAATCTATGGTTTAACTTATATTGTGATTGCTCTCATACTAGAGCTACATCGGTAATGTGTGTGCGTTTTCTATTTTCCAGGAAAGGGAAGAGTTTATATATTAGACGTTTTAGACTTGAAAACCCATTCCGGGTGACATCCCAGTGCTGTTCATCCGGTCCGAGGCTAACGGCAGGTATAT